TGTGACTCTTCCTGGATTCACCCCTTCTTCTCCTCTCTGAAATCCCATAGCATTTATACACCTGGCTTCCACAATCTTGGTCTTTGTTACATGCTCTTTTATGTGCTTGTTGGACTCATTTCCCAAGCTGGATTTTAAGCTCCTTAGGGACAGCGACTTGTAAAATGTAAATGGAGCACTGGAGACACAGGAGGAGTTTGAGAAATACTTGTTGAATGATTCTCTGATTTTTGTACACCTTGGGTGGGAAATTATAGAATTTTAAGGTACTTATCCAGAAGAAGACAACCTTTCATGAAAAGTTCCTTAAGGTCCTAAATTTACTTGCTTTGTTCTCAAAAGGACAAACTTCTTTTTTCTGTTTCCCTTAGAGCAGCACCATATTAGTGACATTCTCAACCTATTGCTAGAGTTGGAGAAGAAAAAGGAGTCCAGTGAAGACTCTAGAGGTGGGAAGTGTTTAATATGCCGGAAAGAGAGGGCTTTGGATGTTTGACCATTTTCTATAGTCATGGAGCTCAACAAAGTTTACCATTAGTATAGGAATCTTTTAGCTCTTGGATGGAAAAATCTCTTTCCTGTAAAACTTCATGGAATTTCTGCTCCTGGCAGAGGCAACAGTTATTCATTGCAGATCTTGGACACGGTTGTCCAAATGGGCACCAAATAAAGCAAGAAAAAAAGAGGCTCAATTACATATTTTAAAATTATTCTTGGTTCCAGGTGATGGACTGGGCAGGCTGAGACTGGTACTGACAAGTCTAACCCTTTACTCAGACCCAGGGGATAGTTTTTGATCTAAAAACCTTGTCCTGCAAACAGGCTGCCCAGGAAACAAAGGCAAGTCCAAGACCGTACTTCATATTCTGGATTACCACACACTCCACCTGCATCTCTGTTTTGCCCAGTGATGGCTTTAGTCTTTTTAATTTGAGCTTCTGTGTAGGACCTGTTGGAGATTGGGATTGAATATTTGAATATAGGTCCTCTTCTCTGGATGGTTTTGGCTTGTCTGCCCCCTTTCAATCACTTGGGCTTGGTCGAGTGACAAACATGTACTCATAGGAATACATCTTGGGTCAGAAAAATCCTTTTGTTATAAGGGACTCTGAAGTGAGAAGCGGACTCTCTGGGAAGAATCTCCAATTAGGTCAGTAATTTTGACTAAGCTTCCACTATAATAACAATTAACATTTATTGAGCACTTACTACTGGTCAGGCCTTCCGCCAAGCACTCTACATAATCATTTCATTTAATACTCACAATACTGCTAAGACATGTAAATTATTACTCTTCTAATTTTACAGATTAGGAAATCGAGGCACCTAGGAGCTAAATAACTCCATCTAAGTTGCAAAACTGGTCGACAGCAAAACTGATCTCCCAAATCCCCCTCTGCCTCAAATCTCCCCTTTCAGTCTTCTTCCTGTCAACTGAGGGCAACTCCATCCTTTCAATTACTTAGGCCAAAGCCCTTGGGGTCATTTTTAAAAAAATTTTTTTATTAAAGTATAGTTGATTTACAATGTTGTGTTAGTTTCTGGTGTACAGCACAGTGATTCAGTATCATATCTATCTATCTATCTTCTTTTTCATATTCTTTTCCATTATGATTTATTATAGGATATTGAATTTAGTTCCCTGCACTATACAGTAGGACCTTGTTATTTATCTATTTTATATACAGTAGTTTGTATCTGCTAATCCCAAACTCCTAATTTACCCCTCCCACACCCTTTCCCCTTTGGTAACCATAAATTTGTTTTCTATGTCTGTGAGTCTGTTTCTGTTTTGTAAGTAAATTCATTTGTACCAGATTTTAGATTCCACATATAAGTGATATCATATGGTATCTGTCTTTTTCTTTCTGACTTCCTTCACTTAGTATGATAATCTCTAGGTCCATCCATGTTGCTGCAAATGGTATTACTTCATTCTTTTTACAGCTGAGTAATATTCCATTGTGTGTGTATATATATATATATATATATATATATATATATATATATCACTTCTTCTTTATCCATTCATCTCTTGATGGACATTTAGGTTGCTTCCATGTCTTGACTATTGTAAATAGTGCTGTGCTGAACATTGGGGTGCATGTATCTTTTCGAAGTATGGTTTTCTCCAGGTATATACCCGGGAGTGGGATTGCTGGATCATATGGCGACTCTATTTTTAGTTCTTTACGGAATCTCCATACTGTTTTCCATAGTGGCTGCACCTTGGGGCCATTCTTGATTCCTCTCCTCTCAAGCCCTATGTCTAATGCTTTGGGAAATAAGTTAGCTTTGCCTTTAAGACACATCTGAGTCTGACCTCTTCTCTCATTGCCACTGCTCCCTTCTGAGTCAAGCCACCATCATCACTTTTGCCTGAAATATTGCCGTAACCCTGCTAACTAGTCATGGTTCTTCCATCCATGTCTTCCCACGGGCTGTTCCAGCAGCCGAGTGATCTTTCAAGTGTAAGTCAGATTGCGTTGTGCCTCTGCAAAGGCTGAAGTTCTCATAAGACCCTCCACTCTCCATCCCCATAACCTCACCGCCTACTGCTCGCCTCACTCACTCTCTTCCAGTGACTGACCACTTTCTTCCTTGTACACACCAGGCGACCCTGGTTTGTGTGCTCTGAGCACTGGGGCTCAGTGTTTGGCGTGTTCTTTCCCCAGGTGCCTCACAGTTAACTTCAAAGTCTCTATTCAGATGCCACCTTCTCAATGTATCTCTATTTAAAATTTGAACTCACTCACTCAAGCAGTACCTCTTACTCTGCTCTATTTTTTCTATAGCCTATATTATTTCTTAACATAGTGTGCGATTCATTTGTTACGTCCATTGTTCACCGTCTGCCTTCTCTCCCCGCATCCCTGCGAGATAAGAGATTTTTGTCTTGTTGTGTCCTGATGTATCCCGAGCACCCAGGGCAGTGCCTATCTGGCACATTGTCCATAATCAGTGAATACTTGTTGAATAAATGAGTGAATGGACCTGGATCTCAAATCTTAGGGTGCTTATAATTTTGTTGTAGACACGCAGCATTCTCAAGCGACAGGGCAATAATGCAGAAGACGTTATGAGGTGGTACCAGTCAAGGGTCAGTTGAACAGAAAACCTAGTGACTTGCACTCAGATGAAGGAGATGGGAGACGTAAGTGCAGGTTGGAGTGAGCTGGGAAGACCTAAGAGGGACTTTACCAGGAGTTCTTTTCCTTTTGGGGTACATTAGTGGGGACACCCTTTCTTCTTGGTTTAGAGGTCCAGAACTTAAATTTGTAGTCCTGCTTCTGCCACACCACACGCTTGGCCCCAAGATATTTCCCCTTCCCACCTCCCTGCCCTCGCGGCCTCAGGGCATAGCTGTTTCTCTGGTCTGGTCAGACATAATGAGAAATACAGGCCCAAACTGTTGGATCATTCAAAAGCAGGGAGGAATCTGGAATGGAGTTATTAGATTTGGGGTATTTTAATCATTTCCTGCAGGTTGGCAGTTTCCAAAAGGGTCAATTTCTAAAAGAATCAGGCAGGGTACGCTTGGAGAAAGTTCACTGCTCTTGAATCCAGTTTTCATATTTGGTCTCCAGATTTGACATTCCACTGAGGCATGCCTGAGACACAGACATTTCTCAGTGGTGACATGTCTCTGTGACAACCCTAGTCTCTTACTTTGGTCCAGTAAAACTTTTCCATTGTCTGTACCCATTGCACTGGCTTACCCTGCTTTCAAGAAAACTGGTTGGTTCCTAACATAGGATGGAAAGTGTGTGTGTGTGTGTGTGTGTGTAGGGGAAGGCAGGGGAGCTGGGAGGGTGTGCTGTCCATTGTGATGCCTGGTCTCCTGCTCATCTGTGAGACAACTCATTTTTCCCTTGTCTGGCTCCAGTGCCTGTCTGCTGTCTCTCGTCCACCTGGATGGTGGTAAGGACACAAACCCCAGTCACCGAGGGGTTCTAACGACATGCCCTCCAAAGGCCAGCCAGGAAGTGACCATGGTATCTGCCAAGCTGACCATCCGGCCAAAACACATTTGTCTCTAGAGTGAGCTCATGGGAAAAGCGCACTTTGTTATAGAAACTGAATATTCAGACAAAGATTCTTTCAGAAATGTTCATATTAGGGGTTGAGACCTGTATATGAGCTAACCAAGTCCCGACTGCCCTCTGACGGGCTGGGCTCCAAGACACTGACCGTGGGAGCAACTACACGGGCTGAAGGGTTCCCAGCCATGGCTGCACAAAAGACCCTCCCAAGGGGGCCCTGAATCCACCAAAGCTGGGGCCCACTCCAGAGACTGTTTCAATTGGTCTGGCATGAGGTCAGGGCATCCATATTTTTTAAAAGCTCTCCAGGTGATCTTACGTGTAGTCAGAGATCAATGTTACCTGCCACGAAGGATCCAGAGACGGGGCATCTGAGGAGCTGGTAGAGGATACAGTCCACACTCTGCCTCACAACCCCTATGTCATAGGGCCCCTCCCTGCTTCTTTCCTATTTCATGAATTTTCCATTTTCTCCTGGATTATTTCCACAATCATATCAACAAGCTGCAATTTCTTCCATTCCGAATAAAAGCCCCTCTTTATACTCCACTTCTTCCTTCAGTTATTGCCCCATTTTCTTGCTTCCTTTTAGAGGATAAACTCCCTAAGATGTGTTTCCTATATATACCGTCCAATTTTTTTCTATGAATTTTCTCCCAGACCCAGTCCATCCAGGCATCCCCACTCAATACTGCACAGACCCTGGTCCCAGCTTGCCATCTGGTTGTGAAAGTGCGTCCAGGTCTCACCCTCAGTAACAGAAATGGGGAACCCGGGGAAGTACAGGCATTCTTGATACACTCGTGATACGTGTACAGCCCCCGATGCAGCCCACGGCTGGCCTAGCAGTGCCAGGGTCAAAGTTCAATGAACAGAAGGCAGAGCTGGTAAAAGAAACTTGCCAGGGTGACGGTAATGCCAATGAAGTTCTCAGTAAAGGGAAAGGTGATGACTTACACAGTGTGTGGTGGTGATGATGACAGAACTGGAGATGAAGGAGAGGCCGTCATTCATGCTGACCTGAAGCGCGGCTTTCCTGCAATGACATGGGAACCAAGGATACTCAGCATGTGGGCAAGGAGCAAGGGGCCGAGAGCAGGACACACAGGTCCCCCGAGGGCTCTGCTCTGAACTACCCATGGGACTGTAGTCTCTTCCTCTGGGGGCCTGAGCTGTCTCATTTGTAAAATGTGGAGGATGGTCTCCAGGGCCCATCCACCTCTAACATTCTAGAGAGATGTCTGGATACACCTGGCTGGTGTATCAAGGCAGCGTATCCAGCCCTTCTTACGTTGTGGAGAATTGCATTGAATGGGCAGAGCCTGCTCCCATTTAATTGACTTGTCCCATTGTAGTACGAAGAAGTATTCTTAAAAGATGGTTCAAATCAGTGGGGGATAAACTGGTCAAGCTAGAAACTCTATTGTTATCTGGACTCTCAGTGATCAGATTCTGATGGCCATGGTTTTGTTGCTACCCAGCCAACTCACAGAGGTACAGCAGTAAATGAACTAATTTGCCTTCTATTTCCTCCCATCTATAAGATGCTCACTGAAGCACAAGCTTGCATTCTGCAGCATGGACACGGGGCTAGTTTGTGGAATCAGTGGTATCACAGGTTGAGGTCAGGCAACCAGAGTTGGAAGCTTTGTAATTTGAACAAATGACTGAAAGCAGAATTCAGATGAGCAAGTTTCGCATTCTTCCTTAAAGCCTCCGTTCTGTCTTCAGCCTATTATAGATGTGTTTACAGAGAGGCTAGTTTGTGCTCTTTCACAAACATTGCCTCTCTGTTTCCCCGCATATTTCTTTTCTTGCTCAGGGTGCTAATTCTCTCCCTCCTCTTGAATATTTTGATCTCATCTCATCAGCATTTACTATAACTGCACCATCGCAAGATTTTCTCCATAAATTAGTTCAGGGAACCTCGGGCCGCCTGGCTGAATACATGGTGCTCTGGAGAGACACTGAGGAAGGAACACTGCACGTGGCCTCAGAGGGGTCTGAACGTGGGGTCTTGAACCAGTCGTGGACCCACTTATCCTTTTTGAGCTTCCTTTCTGAGTTTCTTTATCTCTAAGAAAGGATATAATCATCTAGAAGGGCAATTATGATGACAGGGTGAGGTTATGATATGAGAGTGCTTTGGGAAGCATGAGAGCTTTCTAGAAATGTAGCTGTGATTAAGCCAGACAGACCTTGTTTTGAACCCATACTCTTCCACTTATTGCTGTGTGACCTTCGGGAAAGCTACTTAAATTCTCTCAGCTACAGATTTCACATCTGCAAAACTGGGATGGTGTGTGTCTGGTTCATGGGGCTCTTGGGAGGATAAAGGGAGGTACCCTTTGTGAAATGTTTACCCTGGTGTCTGGCTCACTGCAAAGCATCGGCACCATTATCATTATGTGGAGGAGTCTAGAGAAAGGCTCCATAATGACAATGAAGAGAGACTCTTTCTCCTCCTTTTGTCCCCTCTACCTCCTTTCTCCTCCCTGGCTGTGGGGTTTAGCTGCTGGTGGAAACTTACATGCCAACTTCCTTTAAGATAGGCGCTGGACACAGCAAATAAGTATCTTCCACAGTGAAGGGCTTCTCATCTGTAAAAAGGAAGTCACTGGATTAAGAGGAGTGAGGCAAGTTTATAATTTCATATCCACTGCTTCCTACAGACCATCAACCAAGTCCTGGGAGACACTGGAAAAGCAGTAATGTTTTGAAATATAAACTCATCTTAAGCTGTAAAATCCACTAGAGTGAACTCAAGGTCTTCTGCCTGAATACCACTCGTCTCTGATCCTGTATGTCCAGTGGAGTCAAGCAGTGAGCAAATAGAGGGTGAGTTCTTACCATAGACCAGGCATCCTTGAGGGGAAATGAGAAGGTAATAGACTGATACTTGGGGAGTATCAGGTCTAAGTCTGGTTTAAGAGAGAAGCCATAGTCATGGGAAAAGTTTGCTGACTCAGCTATTGGCTACTGTTTACAATAGCCAAGACCCGGAAGCAACCTAAGTGTCCATCTACAGATGAATGGGTAAAGAAAATAGGGCATATATATGTAGAATGGAATACTATTTAGCCACAAAAAGTGGAAATCTTGCCACTTGTGACAACTTGGGTAGACCTTGATGGCATTATGCTAAGTAAAACAAGTCAGACAGTCAAAGACAAATACCGTATAATCTCACTTATACGTGGAATCTAAAAAAGAAAAAAAACACAACTCATAGATACAGAGAACAGATTGGTAGTTGCCAGGGGCAGGGGCCGGGGGTGGGGTGCGTGAAATGGGTGAGATGGTCAAAAGGTACAAACTTCCAGGTATAAAATAAATAAGTCATGGGGATGTAATGTACAGCATGATTTGGAAGTTTCTAAGAATGAATCTTAAAAGTTCTTTTCATATGAAAAAAATTATAACTATGTGTGGTGATGGATGTCAACTAGATTTATTGTGATCATTTCGCAATATATACAAATATTGAATCATTATGTTGTACACCTGAGACTAATATAATGTTATACGTCAATTATATCTCAATTAAAGAAAAGTTTGCTGACAGATACAAGTAGCTAAGCCAAAATATGGTCTGGCTTCAGAAGACAGAGTAGCTTCCTTTAGGTGGGTGACACGATGAGGTCACAGGGAATACAAAACATGAACTGCGCTTCAGCGGAGAGATGGGGAAGAGGCATTCTTGGTGGGAGGAATGGCATCAGCAAAGACAGAGCAAACAGAAGGGTTGTTCCGGGGTAGGACGTAAGGAGGATTTGAAAAGATCAGTATAGGAAAATGTGTGCTCCAAGTTCTTCGAGTTAAGACTGAGGGATTTGGACCTAGGCCTATGATTGGCTATGAAAAGAGCTTTGGAGGTTTTTGGAGAAAAACTTGGAGTGATGATTTTGGAAGTTTTAGCAAATGTAGCTGTGAAAGATGGATTAGAGTGGGGGAATCTGGAGGTGGGGGAGTTCTTTTTCTTATCCTAATGGATGTCCGGGGAAAAGCTTAAGCAGTTTTAATCTTGAACTCCTTCAAAACTTCACTGTGTCCCAGATTCTGGGGCCAGAAGCAGGGCTGAGAAGTTACTACGCTCAGCATATGGTAGTCATTCCTTCATGACTCAACATTTACTGGGTGCATGCTCTGTTCAAAAGATTGTGGTAGGACCTGTAGGTGATATGAAGATAAATAATATGTGTTCCTTTAATCAAGCTGTGAATACAAATACCTAGAAGACAGAAAGGAAGCCTTTCCATATGTAATGGAAGGATGCCATGCTGTTGTTGGTACGTGATATGAAACTGATGTCTCTAATGATATTTGAATGTGGGCCACTAAACACTTGCCTGAGTGGAGATGAGGAAGCCTCATACCCTCCATGCCTGGATTTAAGGACCAGAGCCACATGGGATGGGAGTTGGAGGACACATCTGAGTTCTAAGCACTGTGTCTCCATGGAAGGAGGATGAAGAGGATGGCCAATTACAGTCTCCCCTGATGTCTCGGGAGAACTTCAAGTGGTGAAAAGTTAGGGAGGTTATTTCAGGTCATTCACTCATTCACTCAACAAATATTTATTCAAGGCCTACTATGAGCTAGAGACACAGGCTTTGAGAAGAGAAACAGTCTCTGCTTTTCATGACACTGCAGGGGAGATAGTTATTAAACACATTCAGTTTTTTATGAAGAAGTAAAAATATTACTTTGGTACGCGGGCCTCTCACTGTCGGGGCCTCTCCCGTTGTGGAGCACAGGCTCCGGACGCGCAGGCCAAGCAGCCATGGCTCACGGGCCCAGCCGCTCTGCGGCATGTGGGATCTTCCCGGACTGGGGCACGAACCCCTGTCCCCTGCATCAGCAGGCGGACTCTCAACCACTGCGCCACCAGGGAAGCCCCATTTTTTAAATCTTAGTCTTTAGTACAAGACTTTTTTTTTAATTGAAGGAGAGTGGATTTACCATACTATATTAATTTCAGGTGTGTAACATAGTGATTCAATATTTTTATATATTATACTCCATTTAAAGTTATTACAAAATAATGGCTATATTTCCCTGTGCTGTACAACAGATCCTTGTTGCTTATTTAAACATATTCATTTTTATTAAAAAACATATACTCTTGAATGTCTACCATGTGCCAGGCATTGTGCTAGGCCTGGAAGTGAACACAACAAACGAAGCACTGCAGTTTTTTTTTCGTTTAATGGCCACTGTTTTAGTTATCTGTTGGATTTAGGGAATGTGGGCAGGCCTTATGCCCTGGGGACATCAGACATTGAACTTAGCTAATAATAAGTGGCATTTATTTCCTGTTATTCCTTGGATGTGTAGCCTAAGGAGAAGGGATAATTAGCAGAACAAAATGCAGGCACTCTTAGGCCCTCCAGGCAAATGCCACCCACTACATCAAAACTTCATTTGGAATTCTAATAAGAATGAGTACCCCTGGGCTTCCCTGGTAGCACAGTGGTTGAAAGTCTGCCTGCTGATGCAGGGGACACAGGTTCGTGCCCCTGTCCGGGAAGATCCCACATGTCGTGGAGCGGCTGGGCCCATGAGCCATGGCTGCTGAGCCTGCGCGTCTGGAGCCTGTGCTCCGCAACAGGAGAGGCCACAACAGTGAGAGGCCCGCGTACCACAAAAAAAAAAAAAAAAAAAAAAAAGAATGAGTACCCCTGTTTGAGTGAGGTGAACAGAGAAAATGAGGGAGGGCTTCACATAGGAAATAACATGAGTGTTGGGTTTTGATGGGTGAATAGGAGTTCTTGAGGAAGAGAGTTCATGAGGAAAGCATAACAAAGCAGAAAAAAATGCTGTTATTACACAAATTACTATTTAATTAAATTATCATGAGCACAAAGAAGGAAAAGCAGGGGGCTTGCTCTCACATGGGAAGTCAGGAAATATTTCCCTGAGGAAAGGCTCTGTGAGCTGAGACCTAAGGCTGGGTGGAGAGGAGATGGGGTGGGAGAGCACTGGAGCTGCATAGATCCTGGAGCAGGAAGGAGCCCAGGTCTTCCGGGAGCTAACAGAAGGCTGACAAGGCTGTTGAATTTCAGTGAGACAGTGGCTCAAAATGAGGCTAGAAAAGGCAGCAGGACCAGATGACCAAGGCCTTGCGGGTCATGGTGGGGCTTTTGGGACTTTTCCTAAATGTAACAGGAAGCTACTGGAGGCTCCCCTCATATTTAGAACGAGCACTGGCAGATTATGGAATGTTGCCAGAATAGTGAGTGTATGTTGAGTACAGTTATGAAGCTTATGAGGACAGTGGCAGATCACACAGTGCCTGAACCGAGCGTTATTATCTTCAAGATGTTTTCCCATCCACGATGGCAATAACGACAGTGAGACTAGCTGGGGCATGTGTGCCGGTGCTCTCAAGTACATCATACACATCACGTCATCTAGTGTAACCTTCTAGCAGTGCTATCAGGGAAGGATGTCATTCCCTTCATTTAACAGACCATAGGTGGAGACACTTGCCCAGCGTTACACAGGGGAGCTTGGATCAGCACCCGGGCAGTCTGGCTGTCACCTCTTGATGACAGGCATGCTTGATCTCCTCTCACTACAACCTTACGAACCAAGGCAAGGCAGGGCTCACTGGGCTCATTTTCCAGATGCAAAATGGAGGCTCAGAGAGGCCACAGTAACCCCTGATTGCACAGCGTGTCTGACGCAAAGCCAGGACTAGAACTGGATTCTCCAGTATTCTCACCAAGCGCCTCCCTGTTCCAGGAAAGGCTCGTATTAGAGGATAAACCAAACTCGGGACAGGCGTGGCTGATGACAACCTATATTTACTTTCTCTTGGTGCTGCAAATGCTCTAGTAATACTTGGGCGTGCAGATCCCTGCCCACGGAGCCCGCCCACGGAGTCACAGGCCGGCCACTGCGCGGCCACAGGAGGCCTCGTGACTCCTGACTGCATTCTGCGGGCGGAGCTGAAGGGGGCGCGCCGCAGCCACGCACCGGGGCTCAGGCTCCCTCCCGGGCTCTCTCTCTGAGCAGCTCCTCTCCTCCCTACATCGCAACAGGAAAGGGAGGGAGAGCCCAAGGTTGGCTCGGTTAGCCAAGGTCAGGTGGACCGCTTCTCACTTGCCCCCTCCTTTCATTTTCCTTTCCTGCCTGGGAGACCAGCTATTTCTGGAGCAAAGCAGACGAGACCCTCGCTGGGAGGACGGAGGAGACGCGGTCGAGGCCGTAGCACCAGCTCGACACGGCCTCCCATCAGTTCCTCAGCCTCCCAGGCTGTGGGCCTGCTCTGGGGAGCTGGCATTTTCGGGTCTGAGAGGGACTGTTTGGTTTGGAGCGTGTTCCACTTTACCACAAAAATGAGTGACTTTTTTCCCCTCTTTCTCTCTAAACAAAGGAGGGCCATTTGGTTTCCATAACTTTCATCATCTGACTCTTTCCTGGAACGTCCACTTGGGAAGCAGGGCCCAAAGCCTTCCTCCTCGGCTGGGCCACGTTTGGCTCGGGGGCCATGCCAACCTCATGGCCACCTCTGCCAAAGCCAGTGGTGTGGTGACATTTATGGGGTCGTCATCCTCTGGAGGGCCTCAGTCCTCTGTCCACCGGTGGCCATTAC